AAAACCACGGGTTGCTTCAAGACCTGTGGTCAACGGTTCAGACCAGCCCCAAAACTGTTAACTTTCGGGTCGGGCCGGTTCAGGGCCATGTCTAATTGTACCTTAAAGATTTGATACTAATTGTCCACTTGAATGTTGATTAAAGAATGAAAAAGGAAAAACACAAATATTTCATCAATTTTCAATTCTTCTATATCAAAATAGTATTCTATATTTGAATTTTGGATTGGTGGGTATTAAAACGGAAGGATGGTGCCCCGGGGCATAGCCTTCTGGTAGCACGACTGTCCATGCTGAGCTCGAACCTCAGAGGGAGGGAACCCTTGACATCTTTTTTCTCCTCGGCAGCTTTTTCCTTCTTTGGAGAAAAGGGGACAAATTGGTAATCATCTCTATGGCGTTAGACCTTCTGGGGGCGCTAGGAGGATGGTACGGCTGCCAGCTACAAGGATTCAGGACTGACAAGCGTAAGCATGGAACCTGAGTATAAAAAAATGAAAGGACGACAGTTTACATGATATGCAAATATATTTTAACCATTTTTATTGTACTTATTTTAATTACATGTCATTTTTTTTCGGCAATGTTTAAACTCATCATATTGAAATGAAAAGCAACAATAACTTTTGCAGTGTTTGGACTCAGTATATTAAAAATTAACGAGTTGAGTTCAAGTCAAGCAAAGCCTCTCTAAAAATATAGGCTCCGGTTTGTCCTCTCAAACTCATTGAACGTAATCCAACTGGGATGAGTATTCTCATTGCCTTATATTCGATGAAGCCATGTCGAGTCAATTCAAATAAAAAATTGTTAGAGAATTCACCTATTGGATTTCTATCAAATTGACTTATCGAATCACAAACATCGAACATGATTCGATATAATTGCTTGGATTGATTTACAACTTTCATAATCATTATAATTGAGATTTTTTGAAGAGCTTCATTTCAAGAGCCATCTCACTCTATTTAGTACTACATATTTACCACTAATGCATACTCGAACCAAAACAACCGTGAATCAAATTACATTTGAGTAGCGTAAAGCTTCCCTGAGACTTCTGCTGAACAAGAGAAGGAATTAAGGAAATGAAGCATCCTATTTCCATCCAAGAAACCTTTGCACTCCAAAATACCAGAACAAAAAAGCGAAAAAAAAAAAAAAAAAGTAATTAATGACGCATTATTTAAGTCATCAAAGGGAATTGATTAAAAGGAAGAAAAAATGTTGGCGTGGGTGCATTGCAATGAAGGTATTTCAGGGGAAGAGATGGTGGGCCCCACATCCCAAACTCAAATACTATGTTGGGTGGTTTTTAGCGTGCGGTTTTTCCACCAATTACTTGCTCAATATGTGCTAATAAATAAATATGATAATATGATTGATATATGTATGTTTCCTTGTACGTGCCTTTCACCCCCACAAAATCCATTACATCTCTCAACTATTTTTTAATTTTTTTTCTTGTACCTGATTTACTTTCTCTCGAACTAATTATCTATGCCTTAGTAATTATTATGCAAAAGACCTCAAGTTTTGTTTGGGAAAAAAAAAGTAAGAGGTACTCAATTGGGATTTTGCGTTGCTTTTTATTTTTTTTATATTTTTATTTTTTTTTTGTCATTTCAAATAATTGTGTTTTATGTATTGTTACATTTTGTTTTGTTGTATATCTTAATTGGTGGTGGTGACTAGATAAAATAGCACACATAATAAAGTCCATCTAGATGGACGGATCAGTCCTATCCATAAGAACATTGCTCTGAATGGTAAACATGAATTTATCAATCCAAAAAGATTTGAATAATAGATAAATAAGTTTCCTAAAGTGAAGAGATTTATCTCTCAACTACCTAATTTTTATTTCAACTTCGACTGTAGAAATAATGTAGAATGGGTCATTAAATAAGACTCTCAAAAGCTCTAACTTACTTGCTTGTCCAACAAACATTCTAATGAAGTAATAAATAAATAAGCTTTATCATATTCACAATCTTGGTTCTGAATTTCTTCATAGCAAACTTAAAAGGCCCGTTATTTGTCTACTCCTAAAAATAATACTTCCCAGCTTCAGGCACATGCCCATTCCAGAAAACATAAGTGTAAATCACATCAACACCAACTCCTTTTGTCTTTTGAATAAGATCTGGCCTGAGAGAATGATACTTCCCAGTTTCAGCTTCCACATCTCCCGCTTCAGCTTCTACCTTCTCAAAAACAGACGGACCCTCATTCTCGGTCGACACCTGCTCATCAAACCGAGGCAGATCCACAGACTCGGTCGACCCCTGTGCATCAAACAGAGTTGGACCCTCTTCATAAAACATCGGCAGACCCGTATATTCGGTCATCCCCTCGTCATCAAAACGAGGTAGATCCTCATATGCGATCGTCCCCTCGTCATCAAAACTACGCAGACCCTCATACTCGGTCTAGTTTTTCTCTGGCCCTAGAGGCTCCTAATCGAAAACCGGCAGACCATCGTAGAAACTGCCTGCGTCGTCAGTAAGATGCTCTACCTGAAAACCCGTCTCCCATCGCGACTCACCAAAGCCCTCGGTCTCACGCCTAAGCTTGCGACGCCGCTACTCCCCAAAATCCATGTAACCTGGGGCCAAACGCCGCAAGTCGCGAAGGTCGTCCTCGTCGAAGTCCTCAGCTTCACTGCGCGTCTGTCGGTCGCTGCAGAGATTGACGTCTAAAATGGTCTCCTCGCCCTCATCCTCGCCGGCCAGCGGTTGTGGCGAACGTCGGCAAGGCGCCCCGCCTCTGCCATGTCTTCCACGTCCACCGTGGAATCTCCCACGCATGCCCCGGTCGTCGGCGTCACGGTGCGTATGTGCACCCTCCACCATGGTATGGATAGTGAGACACAATTCCTCGATACCCGTTGACAGATCTATTAATCAATCGTCCATCTGCTGAAATTGGTTCTCCATCTGCTGAAATCGATTGTTGATGGGGGCGTCATGCCGGTCGATTGCATCTTGTCATCGCTGCGACATCCTAAATCGTGCTGACTTTTGAAACCAACTGATGTAGTATGGTAGACGATTGGGAATAAAGAGAAGATATTTATCTCTCGTAATTTTTATTTCAACTTCAACTGTAGAAAACAATGTAGAAAGGGTCTTTAAATAAGACTTTCAAAACCTCAAACTTACTTAGTTTGTCCAACAAGACAATAATTATAATAATGTAATAAATAAATAAGTTTCCTAATAAATCTAGAATACCAATGATAATAATCAAAATAAAGAAAATAAATAATTAATTAAATTAAAGATCTCCATTCTGCATCATTATATATATTATGTTTTACTAAAAAAACAATGAACATAAAGATCTCTCTATTCAGTATTACATATTTTCTAGCCTAACTGTCATTTTCTCATGTTTTGGTTGATATATGATTTCTTTTGATGACTCCAAATTTTACATGTTGTAATTTTGAGTATGAAAATGTTATGTGCTCAAATTCGATTCTCACATTATCCGCCAAGTAGGTTTGATGATTAATATAATAAATATTCCATTTTGTTCTTTTCAGTCATTTCGAATCAATTATATTGGAGATGGCTGAGTCGACTTGGCTCGTCTGAGCCAATGATACTGGTTTGACCCAGAATCCGGTTGCTTGGCTCGTCTGAGCTAAGTCGGCTGGAGATGAGGAGGGTCGATTCGAGCTCCTGTGTCCCGAATCCACTGGTGTTGTGGTGCGGCACCCCCGGATTTTGGCCAGCGGTATTGGCCGGGTCTCGGGTAGCTGGTGTGGGGGGGCTGGTCGATACTCCTCTGGTTGGGGGTCGACTTCATCCTTGGAGTGGTTCGAGGTTCGGGACTCGTCCTTTGCTAGGCATTAGGCAGTGGCGGGAGTGGCGTTCCGGATTCTGGGTCAAGTTGTGGGATGGTTAGTCATTTTTTCGTTGGCGCCTTGTGCTGGATTTGGTTACTACGCTGGGAAGTGCTCTGTTTGTTTCTAGATTTGGACCCTTTGTCTTTGTTTATTCTTTTGTTTTTGTGTTTGTGTTTTTGGTTTGGGCCATTTGGTCTCTGTGAGCCCGGGTGTGAACTTATTATCCAGTTGGGATCCTACACTCGGGCATTATCCTGTTGGGATCTTTTTAGTTGTTTTAGTTTTTGTTTGTGTTAGTTGTTTTCGTGTAGTTGCGAGTTTGTCTTTCTAACGTTGCTGGCCGGTTCTAGGCGACCTTAGGATTTGCCTCCCAATTTTTTTAGCCTCTGGTTGTACTATTCAACTTTTGGTTGTTTTCTCTTCGCACTTTGTGCGGTTTTTATTAATGTAAAACTTCTATCGTTCCGGGAAAAAAAAAATCAATTATACTTATACTATAAATGTGATTCTATAGTATACTTTTAACATTAATAATATTTTTATTTGTTATTTGTTATTCAAATATAATATGTATAAATAATAATTTTTTTTAAACAAAAAATCATTTTCCGTCCATATTTTATACATAAAATAAAAATAATCACAAATATCTATACAATAAATTATTTTTTTCTATTAATTCTAACCTAAAAATAAAATGGGCTTGAAAATTATTTTCTAAAACAAACTATAATTGCATAACACATATACTCGAACAACTTTGGCACCCTAGCTATGCCATTAGAACAAGGTGATTAAGCTAAATACATAATAAATTCAACTATTCTCTTCATAATTCTTCAAAACAATTCAAACTCATGGAGAATGAATAGTTGATACTTTGTTGAATATTCATGGACTTAATTGTGGGTCATATCTCAACAAGAAAATATCTCCTAACTGTTTAATTAGTTTGAAAATACAAATGCAAAAAGACACCATGTTTCACAAACTGCATATTAAAGCCTAAAACTTATCTTCACAAGGAAAAAAGATAATGAATTTGTCACTTAAAGGTAAAGCATATTGCAAACTAAATATTCATTGGGTTCTCATTCTCCCTTGTAAAAGGGAGACAAACCCAAAAAGTACTCTTACAATATTTTTAAGACCAATCCCACAAAGTGTTCCATGGCCAGATAATGTAAGGGGCGGCCCCAATCATTTAATTACATGGGATTTTTCATGTTTATTATAATAAGAAGATGTTTTTTCTTAATTCATTTTATTTTTAAAAAGAATGTCACTATCCCCACTAAGTCAATGAATAAGTAAATCCCATTGGTATTTAATATTTATTCACTTCAAGGCTCAATTGGTCAAAGATTTTTCTTTCATCCCATTTGTCACTTGTTTACCATCTTCTTCTCTCAATGGTACATGCGTGCACTCATTAAACATTTAAATTTAAATGCTTTTTTTTTTTTCTTATATTCTTTTGCCAAAATTCTTAATTGGTAGAGGATAGCATAATTAGGGTAAATAAATTAAGGAATGATTAATATTTCCACCTAGCATCAATTGAAAATATACGTTTTATTTCACGTACAAAAGCCAAACATTCTAATCCAATATTTTCATATTATTACTATGATAAATTTAGAGTTTTCTCTTCGGTCTTTACCAATATATAAACTTAAAATATTCATAAAATATGCATGTAACTATGTTCATAATGCAAAGCATATCATAACTATGCCATAGTCCACCAACTTGATGGTCAAAACCAATAATTTTGCTTAAAATCAAAATTGAGATAATTACACTGTGTACTGACAAAGGCAAAAAATATTGTACATGTACCAATAAAGTATCTTATTTGCACATTTACGAGATTAGCACCCAAATCATGTTCAACCGTTTCTAAGCATGATTTAAGGAGGTGGGTTTTTTATATGGTAAGTGTTATTGATTTTTTGGGATTTGTAACCTCCTATCACCCACTAACCCTTCTCAGACTTCATTGCACACACGCTTTACTTTTCCAAAATTCATCTTATTCACTTCAAGTGACGAGGTCTCCTCTCCGGTAGGGCGTGCGGCTATGGGAGAAGGAGAAAAAGATACATAGAATTAGAAAAAAGGGGGAAAAAGTGAAGTTTCAATTTTGTCTGAAACACATAGCAGAGCTACTTCACTGCACCTATATCTTCCGATCGATCGATCGATCTGTTTTTTGTATTTCGTGCAGTTTTTTAATGTATAAATTCATTTTCTTTTAAGGTTTTGTGATTCTATATATAAAATTTTACCCTTTTTTTCTTGAATTTTCGGCGTTGTTGTGTCAACCCGTGTAAATTAAGTGTCTACTCTCTGTAACTGTTTGTGTTCGCCGGAATATTGGGCGGCGAATGCGTTCGTAACTATCGGTAATAGGGTTTGTGTATTAGGGTTCGTGGTGAATTACTGGGATCTCGAAACTGGTATCGCACGCCGGCAGATTATAGTTATTTTTTTTGGTATATGTTCTAGTAAGCACAATTGACAGACTATTGTGTTTTCTGTATATTTTCAGTATATATTCTGTATATGATGACAAGATTGATTTATCTTCTGTATATCTGTTGTGAATTATATTTATGTCGTCGGTATATAATGAGTATATCTTCTGTATATACGTCTGATCGTGTATTTTATTTATTAAATCAAAAAATATACTATAAATATACAGAAAAAAACACGATATGTAAATAACACAAAAAGTAAATAAAAAAGGATTATGAAAAGAAAAAATTACAAGGTTTATTTCATATATTTTCGGTACTTATATGTTTTCTGTATATCTTCTGTATATATTATGTATATATTATTTATAAGTGTATATATTCTGTATATATTATGTATAAGGGACTATACATAATATTTTTTATATTTTTATTGCGTGTATTTTTTATTGAGAGAGTGAGTACGTTTGAATTTCAAAAACTAATCTTTTCCATTTGATAAGAACGGATTCCTAAATAGTAGGTAATATACAGTTCTATTTTTTTTCAGTTCAATAATAGAGATGCGTGATTGTAGGGAAGGTCTTTTATTTGGTAACTGACGTTTTTTTATTCATCCCAAATAAATGCATTTGAATTGGTATACATGCAAATAAAATCTCCCATCTTGTAGAAATGCAATATATTTAATATCTTGTGGTTAAAACAAAATTTCGCCATCAAAATTTCATCCAAAAATTAACACGTTCATCAGGTGTTCCATTAAACTCTCAGGCAAAATTTTAATTTCTTTTCAAAATTGTTCTTAAATTAATTGATTCAAATATTTTGAGTCCATTATATATATATATATATATATATATATATATATATATAATATAACTGTACTCAATACATTGATTGCAAAATTTACTTTTTCCTAGTAATTTTTTCAGTAAATTTTTAAAAGAAACCGCTATATTTTGCATTAATCAAGTACTTATATTATTATTTATTTATTCTATTACGTAATAGCTAGCTACTATTAGCTCATCATAAAGTCAGATTAAATGATATATAATACAATATATCTATAAAAGATTCTATTGCAAACCTATTTTTTTAAAACTATTTAATTAAAAATATTATTATTATTTGTTTCTTATTTCAGCTCATTAAGTAATTTTTTTTATAAATCTTAGTTAATTATTTTTATGGCATAACCAAAACCCTTATAAAAATTCATACTAAATTGCTATAACAATAATTTTAGTATTTTTTTTATTTAATTAATTAGTCATAATCACTTAAAGGCAAAAATTATATTATTGCATCAATATAGTGATTCATATATAAGTTAACTAGTTTATATTTATATCATTCATTTTACAGAGGGTAAAATTATGAAATGTAATATGCTCATTGTCTAATTAACTTATGCTTTTAAATGTAATATACATATACATACATATATAACTTAGAAAATTTTGTTTTCATATGTGTAAATGTGTATATTACCGAATACTATTTAATGAATTAAATTTCAATCGAAGTACATTTACACCTGAAATTATAGGATCACTTTTAAAATTTTCCAAATCTTGACATTATTGTTAATTATGCGTGAAAGATGATAATTACACATTGCTATGTCAATAAAGCACAAAGTAAAGAATATAGCCCTTATCTTTGTCTAGTCTTTTTTATCTCTATCATTATACACATATGGTTAGGTCTTGTTTATAATGATCAGTTAGCATTTTTACATTAAAATACCGACACGCTCAAGATTGAGACAGAAAAAATAAGTAATTGATTACTAGACCAAGTGAAGCATGACATGCGCTGGCCACACTTACCCAATAACAATTCGGTTAGGTAAGAGATTATATTTAATAAGAGGATTTGTCACGTATTTATAGTTGAAATTCACAAAATTAAGAGACGTAATTATTAATAAAATTCATTATTATTATTTTTTTTTTTCTAGTCATATCATTCTTTTATTTTTTCGGTAAATAACCTTAAAATGGTAATGACACACTAACTAAATATAGTCGTGTGGTAATGTAATATTTCATTAATTGTTGATATTTTTTAAATGTGACAACTATAATTAATTAAATTGATATATTTTATTTGTCAACAAATTATTATAATCGTTTAAGCTACATAATTTTCTTTCTTAAAACTAATATAAAGTATTTATTAATTAATATATTAAATATACAAGAATCTAAAAGAGTATTTTTAAAATTATTGTAAATTACATTCACATTACATAGTATGGTAAATAAAATATAAAAACAAATTAGGAAAATGTCATGATTATATATTTCTAATTATTATGAGATATGATAAATTTTAAAGATTGAATAGAACACAGGTGTGTATAAATAGTAAAATATTTTATACAATAAATTTAATTAATTTATTTATATAATTTTAGACTATTAAATTAATAAATAATATTAACATACATTAAAAATTTATTATTACATAAAAAGAAGAAGATGAATTCTATAATTTTTATAAATAATAATAGTATATTATATGACAACAAGTGTTTGAATTAAATAGTGGTTGAGTATTATATGATGAAAAAAAGAAACAAGTAAAATTATTATTTTTCCTACATCAAGAAATAAATATATGTATTGAAGTCTTATTTTTATTAATATTTAGAGGGTTGATATATTAACTTACAGGGAATCAGGTTTAACGGTCCGACCAAGAAAGAAAGAACAACACTGACAAAAATATGTGGAAAATAAATAATTCAATTTTATTAATTATTAGGCTAAACTGACTAATTCTATAGAACTTGGTCATTTAACCATAGTTTTTAAACCCGGCCCGGTGATCGACCCGGGCAGGTCCTCGGGTCACCGGGTCACCGGTTCAACCGTCGGGTCACCGGGTCAATTGCTGAACCGGATAATTAATTTTAAAATTTTTAAAAATTATATATAGAGTATTTCTGTTATATAAATATACATAAAAGTAACAAAATTAAATATTTTTTGTATAAAATTTGTATATTAAAGTGTTAATAATATGTATCTCATGATAAATATTTACCATATAAACATATATACATATTTTTATTTTTAAAAAACAAAAAAAATATAAAAAATATATATGGACCGGGTCAACCGGGTTGACACGGCCGGGTCAATGCCCCGGGTCGGCCGGGTTTGACCGGGTCCTTGGTTGCCCGGTCCAAATACTCTATCCGGACAGGTTCTGGCTCCGGGTCAACCGGGTCCCGGGTCGACCCGCCGGGCCGGTCCGAATCTCAAAACAATGCATTTAACATTTTATTTTGTACATCGCACAACTATGTACTAGTTAAGAAGTCAAAAGTGGAGTGATTTATGAAGGAAAGAAAGATAATATGGATTTTTTTTTTTACCTAGAGAATCAGCATTTATAATCCTGATTGATTGGTAAACTAATAAAATTATTGACATATAAATATTACACTTTATCAGGTGATTCCATACCAAACTGGTTGAATTTCCTTCATACCAAACTGATTGGTTGAATTATTGACATATAAATATTACACTATGAGTTCATGTTATGCTCGTTCTAAAATTATATATAAGAGGAATTTCGATTTTATCTCAGAAAATGTATACATAGATATTTCCAAAGTTGCATTAGATTCTCAAAACTTCACCAATGTCCCGAAGTCTATTAATTAGCCTATGCGTTCCCCTTCACTCCTATAATAACANAAAAAAAAAGGGAGACACTAATACAATGGCTAAATAGCGCCCTCATATTTTTCGATCGGATGATTATGGAGATGATTACATTATTACTGCATTCAAACATGAAGATCCTACAAATTGGTTGCTATTCGCAATAAACATGACTGTACATCACTTGTTGGGAATGCCAAGCTATCTTTACTTACTGCAGAGCTTCTTCGTTGATCTAGTGCTTGTTGTAAGCCCTCAATTAACATGGGCTGCACTTTGACTGTTTCCAATTTCTTGTGGGCCAGCTAAAAGTCAGAGTGATAGAGACAAACTAGACTCGAATGAGTCGCGGGCGAACGACACAGTGGGCATTCAGGCTTTTCATTGCACCATTCCATGATGCAGTTCCTGTGTTAAAAATATATGTAAAATTAAGATGAAAGTCATGTTGGCTACTTAAGTGCAAAGTTACGAACAAAAGAAGAATAAATGTAGTAGTCTTTTGGAGCAAATACCAGCAAAATACATGACCACAAGGAGTAGCTGTTGGGTGCTGCCGATTGCTTAGGCAGAGTGTGCATTTGCTCAGGCTACTTACTTGAGGCTGAGAAAGATAAGCATTTTTAAGACTGAAAAAACGGCAGACAAAAACAATTATTCGGTAATTAATAACAAAGTATACCTCTGAAGTAGATGCAGATGTTGCAACCTGGCTAACCTTTACAGAGTCCTCAGTTATCAGATTGCCTTCCTCGTTTAAGACAGGTAAACTTCTTCCTGCAACAATAATAATTAATATGTCGATTTTTTTTTTTTTTTATAGAAATTGGCATCATCCCACCAATAAAGATTCTGCAATTAATCAAGCAATAACCAACATCCTATGACGAATTGTAACAATATACGCTCGGTTTTTTTAGCTCTGGAAAATGGAAAGAATCAAAACTGACGGCGAGTGACCCATCCACAGCGAAAACAATTTAAAAAGAAAAAATTAGTCACCGGCTGAAGTTTGATAAGCTCCAAAAGATGTTTGTTGAAGTGAGGTAGCAAAAGATGACAAATTGCTTCTCCTTAATCCTTCAGCACCAAGAATACACAGCTGAACCAGAAGGAAAACCCCCAATATTTGATATCTGCTTGAAATACATAAATAACACCTAGTTGTCAGGATGAAACTAGAAGCAACTTTTACAGCTATAATTGACAGATGTACCTAGGCCGTTGATTACTTGGTTTGCCAATAAACACATAACGTATCCCAGAAGCCCGTTTTGATAAGTGGTAATAAAGACCTGTGTGAGTGTGAGTAGGGCAGCCACACGAGACAGACAAGAGAAAATAGCATTCCGTTTGTTAAAATCAATATTTGACTTTTAGATATGCATCTTTTTTGCAGCTTTTGTTGTTGCTGGAACTATGTGGTATGGTTCAGCAACGAGAGCCTAATAGTTTACCTTCAAAATAAAAAAACATGAGGTTTGTGCGGAGAACCAACATGAAACACTCGCGGGCTATAGGAAGAACCTGTACGCATCAGTAGGTACAATTATGAAATTACAGGACCTCGTGGATGGTTCTACAAATATGAAAGCTGGGAAAACAAACTCATTCAACTATTTGTGATTTGTCTGAATAAATCTTTTGTACACAAGACAGGCTAAGAAGGTGAGAGGACATACTGAGGGCCACCTCCGAACTGCATTCAACCATAACCCATAAATCCGAGCTCTCAATCTCGACCAAGCTGAAACTCGTGCGCCCAAATTCAAGGATGACGACATTTCTGCACTAGCAGACGCCTGAATTTGATCATTTAAGATATTCTCATTGTTGATGACATCATCAGGCAGTGAATAATCCATGGTGATGCCCTGGGAAGCAATACGGGCACTGGAAACAGGATATATAAAGTAAGTGGTTGTTATTACAAGCACTATAAAGTTTCAAATAACATGAAAGGTGTAACAACCTTATCCTCTCAGCAATATAAGGGAATGCTGTCTGATAAAGAATAAAAAGTGAACGCCTAGCGGGGGTTGGAGGGAGTCCATAGGTCCCTGCAACCTGTAAAAGAAACCACTAATTCTATGCATCTTTTTCCATTATTCATTTACAGTTGAAGCGGCAAAGAGTTTAATGGTACATGTTCAATCATTGCTCAATAAAACGAAGATTTACAAAGTGGTGAAATGATAAATTTAACATCTCAGACGTAGGGCATACTGCACGTGGGACTGAAGCAGGATAGCAAATAATCACAATGGTACCCTATTAATAGGTATCTCCTCTCTGCATCTCTCAACTTAATATAAGAAAGTAGTGCGCAAATAAAATATACGCACACCCTAAATGAACATCCAAAGATGTGTGAGCATCATGTTTCTTAACTTTTAAACAATAAAAAAAACAGACACATCTTCATTCATTAGCACGTGGGAAGACAAAAACGAAAGATCTGCACCTGCGTAATGTCACAATATTCTTCTCCTAAGGTCTGTTTCCCTGCACCAGTTGTTAAGACATAGTAGAGCATCTGCCCCAATAGTTTCATCTACAAGAAAACAAAATAAACGTGTACAAGTAAATAAGCACCCTACTCTTAGAAAAGAAGTAAAAGTATCTTACAATCAATTATAGCAAGAGATAGCAAAATGAACACGGATAACAAGTAGCTCTCACAGTTAATTGAGACAAATCATTCATGACAGTCATGATCTGGAATCGAAAATTTCGTATCCATTAAATAAATAGCCAATTTTGAACAATTTCAATGACATACAAAAGCATTGCCGAGAACAAGATATTTTTATGTGCTCCTCTTTTCAACAAATACAGCATTCATATTGTATGACTTCTTATGCTATTGAAACAACAAGCCGTAAACAAATACTGCAGGTCATCCAATAATATTATTGAGTTAACGAGTTCAGAATAGTACTACTACAAATGTCACATAGAAAGCAGATGTATCAGCTTTAGCTGATGGCAGCAGCAGACAACACTTCATGAAAAGGAACAAAATTGAGGGACAAGAGCAAAACCTCACTCTGGTACGCAACAGCAACTCTCGTACCTGGAAAGATAAGGCAATTACTAAGAAATTGGTTCGCAGTTCTAAATCAGTTGAGTGTGCGATGTAAGAGGAACAAATTGATCTAACTAAAATACCAAAGAGATGGCGGAAGGCGTCCCGGCAGGCGTCGTGGACAAAAGAAGCGTACTGGTCGTCCTTCTCAGCTGCTCTCATTATCTCCGGCTGAGCCGCCAGAGGAAAACTCCGCAACCCGCCGTCGCCGCCGCCGCCGCCGGCGGGGCCGATATCCAAGTCGCTGTTCCTTGTGGCGTCACCGGCAGCTTCTCTATGCCCCATCTCAACCTATCTCGAATGGAGGAACAACCTCTCTCTCTCTCTCTCTCTCTCTCTCTCTCTCTCTCTCTTCCTCGCAATAAATTGGTGCGGCTGTCTGTGCTACGACCCAAAAGCAAAACGACAGCGTTTAGTGGTGAGTTTTCAGAAAATAATTTTGACATAAAAAGGGCCAAAATTAAAAAATAAAAAGTTGAAAAAAGAATAACGCCGTTGCCGGGGATCGAACCCGGGTCACCCGCGTGACAGGCGGGAATACTCACCACTATACTACAACGACTGCTTGTTAAGTTAGTTATACTAACTTATATCACATTATATATTTGAATGTATTTCTAAAGCAATTTTTCTACGTGTCATTATATAAATTGGAATTACTAAAAAGTTAGTGCTTACTTTCTCTTATACTACAGATACTTGTCTTGCCCACATTGAAGTATGAGCTATCAAATCACTTACGCGTGAAATTTGTCGATCCCACGATTGATTTAACCTAAAAAATTATTTAAATATAATGAACAATGTTGTACATTATTTTCCATTTCCACCTCATATATTACTTTTGTCTCGATATTTTCTTTGGAGAAAGGAGTTCGTCCATAAGAAGTGATTATTTATCGTTGTTTTATTGTCATATACATATGTAAATCGTATTTCCGTTGGCTTTAAACTTCGTATGATAGGCTATTCAGTATATTAATCAATGTATTTATAAATTTATAGAGCTTTTTAATCTATCTTATTTTATATTTTAAATCCTAAAATGTGTTTAGTCAGTCATACATATAGAGAAGCACAAGAGTATGTGACTTCCACTATATCATCACTTATACACAATTCTTGCTATATCCACGCTTCTATAGTAGTTTATTAGATAAATTTTATGGAAACACTCGACCAATCCACATTTACCAAAAAAATAAAATTCATTTTCCTTCAATCCATGATATTATGTCGATTGGAAAGTTTATTGTCGAATTAAACTGAGATAGTGCTTCCGAAAAGAGTTAGGGGGCGATTGGATATGGAATAACCCGGTTATGTTCCAATTGATGAGTTTAAATGAGTTATTTTGAATAAAATATATTTAAAATTAAATAATATGTAAAATGTAATGTGATGTGCTCTTGCACCTCAAACTGGCCTTCCGCTAATCCTCAACCGCTTGCTCCCCGGAGACCTGCAAAGACGTCGAGAGGTGTTCCCGGTGTTATACCTCCAACGCTCACGTCAGTAAAGGGTATAAGATAGTTGTATGTAACTGTATGTATTGTTAGGGTTTGTAGAGTGTGATCAATCTTACCTTCTTCTCCAATTTACCTATTTATATGGAGTTATTAGCTTTCCTTGTACGCTTTGTTCCTCATCCGTCAGATCATTTGTTCCTTTCTTTATCCTGGCCTTACACGTGTCCTATGCAAACCACTCTTATAACCACCTCGCTAGTTCGGTCGTTAGCCTGTAAAAGCACTACTACAGGTCGGCCTTCCCTCATAATGCCCTTTCTTGCTCCCTATGCGGTCTAGTTGCCATTGTCGAGCCACTCGTGTGTCGAGCTTTAATTTTAACCCCGCGACTAGCCCAGTCTCCTTTATGCCGAGCTACTTTAAAAACTGAACTCCTAGCATTTCCAGTCATCAGTAAGACGAGCTATTGTGATGCCGAGCTATCTGGATACCTTAATGCTATTGGCCGAGCTACTTGGATACCTTAGTGCCGTGGTCCGGGCTACTCGTAGTCCGAGCTATTAACTCTGCCGAACTGCTCCTAAACCCCTCATCCTACCTAACTCTTATTCATAAACCGAGCTACGCCTGGCCGGTTTACCAAGCTATTCTCATGTGTTATATCAGAATATTTAAAGTTAACGTGATGTAAAAGTAGGAGAAAGATTATAGGAAGTGATAGGTAGTTAAAATTATGGTAGTAGATGAATAGGGAATTAAAATTTATGTAATGTATGAAATGATTAATAGATATTATTTAATTATATTCATAAAAATTAACAGAATTGGGTTGAGTTTGATTTTGAATTAGGTGATTGGATATGAAATGAAATGACCCAACTAGTTATAACAGTTGGACCATAACTCACATCACACATTACTACCATTTAGAACATGAGAAACGGAGGTCGAAAAACAAAAAAATTATTGATGATCTGCTTTTTTATTATACCGCAACTCCAAATTTTTGTCCCAAATTATTCTTGATCACTCGAACATGCATCGGATATATAAAATCAAAGGGGGCAAATTCTGTTAGGGATCCTACAAGCTTTTATATCCTCGCGCAAGTCAGGGATAAGGCTCATCAAAAAACGGTCACGCAAGTATTCGCATATGCAAATCTGGTGCAGTTTAAGCGCTTGGCAACACATGTTCGACGGGGGCATGGGAAGCTGGGGGTTGGGGTGCATGCAATAGAAGAGCTGGGTTTGACCGTTGCAGGTCACGGTCTTGGCTGCCGCCTCGTGGGCCAGAGCCGCCACGACTAGCACAACCGCCGCCAGGTAAATGGCAACATCGACGCCCTTGGTCTTCATCATTTTTTGAATGTGTGATGCTGCAACAGCTAATATATTGCGTATGTATGTGAGAAATTATTAAGATGATGGGAATTAACTGTGTGTTTGGAAAATGAGGGGTAGGGTATTGGATTTATAGGTGGTGGAGGACCATTTTATTTATTTATTTTTTATTTTATTTTTCTGGATTTTGAACAATTATATTTTTGTAATTAAATTATAAGTTTCATGCACATATAGNAAAGTATTGTATTTGTAATATCCATAAAGTGGTTTTTATTATGCCTTAATAGTTTATATTATAACAATTATGTTGGTAATACTATGATTACATTGGTGATTATACTATAGTGTTAATCACATTTATAAATTAAAAATATGAAATCAATATGTAATACAATTTATCTATATTAATTTATTGAAAATGTTATATATATATATATATAAAATATTTAAACTGTGCAACATTACATAAAACGTGTCTATATAAAATTAGTATACAACCCTTACGGTGCACGCAACTGATATATTATATTCATTTCAAAATAGGTGTCATTTTAAAATTTTTATTCAGAAATTCGATTTGACTACAATGTGATTCTATAAAATAATTATTTTGGTAAAAAGTTTATCACATATTTAAAAATTTATGTGACTAATAAGTATGATTATAAAACTTATATTGTTCCACTAAGTAAAATGCATTTATTTTTGTATAAAACTATACTAATCAGAAAATTTAAGTAATTGAATAATTTATTAAAATATAAATATGTTAACATCCGAGTTAGACCACGAAGGACCCAAAAGGATAAAAAAATGCCAGCGAGGCATTCGGTGGGATAATTAAGTACCAAATACACCAAGTTCAGTATCCTAGATGTTGACGCCTAAACAAAATTCGGCATCTAAACAGTGGAAAGTCCGGGCTCGACGAAGAACAAAGTTACTAGGAACAATGTGAAGAGCGTATTCTTAGGTCAGCACCTGCGGCACCAGGGGGACGAGGTCGACCTTCATAAATTCATAGCTCAGAAAGAAGACCCCGAAGGTTAGAAGATGAAGGCAGCTAAAGTTGTGGAGGAAGTCCGGGTCTGAAGAATCAATCAGGTCGAACCCTGGCACGCACCCGGGGCCCGAAAATAATAAAATATTGTCGCTTGTCAAGTGATGATTACCGATGGGACTCGCCACCCTAGCCTGTAGCCCTACTGAGCATAGGATTGTAGGACGACCTGTAAGCATTAAATGTACCCCACGTGTGCATTTAATGCTTGGCAGGCAATCATTAGTTTAACCTCAAATCTCATTTAATGCTCGTCAGAACGGTATCTGACATATGTCATTCCAAGTTACTGTACGAAACGACGAGATGAATAACGAATGAACAGTAATCGGCTTGTAATAGTATAAATAGGCAGTCACCCTCATTTATTGAGGGTCGGTTGAAAAAATCCACCAACTCTTTCTCTCTCTACATTAACTCTCTCAACATTTATTCTCTCGGTAATAAAATACTGTAATGAACCAAAGTGTGAGTGGGAAGCCGACCTACCCTTCAGAGGCCGACCACACCAAAAAGCAATAAAGCTTATTTCCTGTGAATCCTTTTCGTTTCTTTTCGCATTTGTCAATCTTAAACATCGATTTAACGTTGACCGATTTCGATCTTCAACAAAATAATTGACCATTTTATTTACGACCAAGTTAATAGACTAGTAAATTATCAATAACCACTTATTTGAATTTTTAAAATTGGAACCCAATTTTGGACTACATAATAAATTCTCTTATATATTTCACACACACACACACTCACGCACACACACATAGACACACACACACACACACCTATAGATATATATATATATATATATATTATATAGCAATGTTCTAGATTTGTTGTCGATTACCTTATCATTCAAATTTATCAACTAATTTTATAGAATTAATTTATAAATTATAAATTTTATTAACCAATATTTGTTCAAAGATCTTTCTGATTTTCAAGTGGATTACATACCAATTTTTCGAATTATCATCAATATCTTATGATAAGTTATTATGTAAATATGCTAAAATTTGAGAATCATATCAACTTGAGTTTATTGCAAATCAACCTAAAATTCGACTTTCATCCTCATACCAAATAAATATCATATCACTTATTTTGTTTTCAAAATTTTCAAATACACTTATATCCATACCAAATAAAATAAAGACCATTTAAATTCGGATATTTCATACTAAAACAAAATCACTCACTTTATAGCATAAAAATTTAGATATTTATTAATAACAAAATATTTCCTACCAAAAATAAAATAGCCATCAGATACCTCAAAGAAAATCGTCCACTTTATACCTAAATTGCATTTATTAATTTTTGCCAGCTTTATACCATAAATTGATTAATTAATTTCTAGAGGCAGATTGTTTGAAAATTTTCAAAAAAATATTACCAAGTTTAGTAATTTTAAAAATTTTAAGCGGGATTTTAGTTTTTATTTTACGTAAAACGTTGTGCTTATTTTTTCTTATAATACAGATACTTGTCTTTCCCACATTGGAGTATGAGCCATCGAATCGCACACACACTCGCGCCTTTGAAATCTGTCTATCCCATGGTTAATTTAACCTAAATATTTGTTTGAATATAATGAACAATGTCGTACATTAGTTTCTACTTCCACCTCTAGATTACTTTTGTCTCGATATTTTCTTTGGAGAGAAGAGTTCGTCCATAAAAAGCGATTATTTATCTATGTATTATTGTCATAAATCTATCTAAATCGTATTTCAGTTGGCTTTAAAATTTATTTTAATGATAGGCTATGCAGTATATTAATCAATGTATTTATAAATTTATAGAGGTTTTTAAATTATCTTATTTTATATTTTAAATCCTGAAATGTGTTTAGTCAGTCTAACATATAGACAAGCACAAGAGTGTGATTTCCAGTATATCATTTATACACAATTCATGCTATATCCACGCTTCTATAGTAGTTTATTAGATGAATTTTATAGAAACACTCGACCAATCCATATTTATCGAAAAAAAAAAGAAAGAAAAGGGTTCCATTCTCTCGATTCTTTTTCCTTCAATCCACCGTATTATGTCGATTAACAGGTTGATTGTCGAATTAAACTGAGATAGCGCTTTCGGAAAGAGTTATGGGGCCATTCAGGAGCTAGAATTTTCATTCAGGGGAGTCCAATTTTAAATGTTAAATAACGAGTTTGTAGTTTACGTAGAACTCTCATTTCATATAAAGTTGTGTTTACTAATAAATATAGTATACCATCAAGTTTTTAAAAATTTAGAATCCGTATCACCCTCAATATTTTTTTTTTAAGAAAAAAAAAATTGAGATTTCGTATATTTATAATTTAAGTTTAAGATCTATAATTTATTAAAAAAATAAGTTTTTTTGTTAAAAATTTATATACATTGAACTTTTTGCAACACGTTGCATAACATTTTTTGTTGATAAGAGCTTATCAAATTACAATTTTATTAATAAAAATATAAATAAAGTTGAAAATATGTGATTACATAAAAAAATAAAGTAAAAAATTAACATTCAAATATACAATCAAGCAACATTCAAAAATCTAAAAATCCAACTAAATTCAAGGTTTTATAACTTATTAAATTTATTTATAATTAAAAGACCGAAAGAGTAAATTATTATATCATTTTTCAAAATATATCCAGAAATTTAAAATATAAAGATTGTTAGTATAACTTTCAATAAATAAATAGTATTATTACTTTAAATAAAAATAGCATTGAGAATAAGTTTTAATTATTTAAATCCAACTAAATTCAAGGTTTTATAAATCATTAAATTGATTTACAATTAAGAAGCCGAAAAAGTAAATTATTATATCATTTTCCAAAATATATCCAGAAATGTAAAATATAAAGATTGTTAGTATACTTTTCAATAAATAAATAATATTATTACTTTAAATTAAAATAACATTGAGAATAAGTTTTAATTATTTATATATTCTACATGTTTTTCTATATTTTTATTCATATTTTATAGTATTTTTTTATTTGTATATAACTATATATATAATAATTTTTAAAAAAATTGAGGTGGGCCCACGGGCCCCCTGGACCCCATGTAGGTTCGTCTTTGGAGCCATTGGATATGGATTAAACCAGTTATGATCTAATTTGGTGAGTTAAAATAAGTTATTTTGAATAAAGTACGTAGATTTGAAACAAAATAATATTGAAGATGTAATATTTAAAGTTGATATGATGAAAAAGTAGGAGAGAGATTAAGGAAGTGATAAATAGTTAAAATTATATAAGTGAATAAATAGTTAATTAAAGTTGATGTGATGTGTGAATATGAATGATTAATATTATTTGATTATATTTAGATAAATTTATGAGAATTAGGTTGAGTTGGATTTTGAATAATGTGATTGGATATGAAATTACTTAACCAGTTATAACCGATTAAATTAGAGATCATAACACATGCCACACATTACTACCATTTGAAACATGAGAAACAAAGGTCAAAAAAATAATAATAATAATAAAAAAAATATTATTGATAATCTGCTTTTTTATTGCAGCACAACTCAAACTTTTTGTGCAATATTATAAAAATCAAAGGGGGCAAATTCTGTTAGGGATCCTACAAGCTTTGATATCCTCGGCCAAGTCAGGGATAAGGATCTTCAAGTAAGGGTCACGTGCGTATTCGCATAGGCATATCTCGTGCACTTTAAGCGCCTTGCAACACATGACCGACGGGCGCTTGTGGGGGATGCAAGGGAAGAGTTGGGTTCGACCGTCGCAGGTCACGGCCTTGGCCGCCGTCTCGTGGGCCAGAGCCGCCACGACAAGCACGACCGCCGCCAGGCAAATGGCAACACCGGCGCCCTTGGTCTTCATCATTTTTCGAATGTGTGATGTTAATGCAACAGCTAATATATTGTGTATGTATGATGATGGGAATTAATTGTGTGTTTGGAAAATGAGTGGGGTA